CTTCATTAATTAAAACTTCTGAAAATTCCGTCCGATTTATTTATCGTCTGGAATTATTTCACGTCACATGACTTCTTCTTCTTCTTTTTTTTAACGAATATCAATCTATTACGAAAGTGAGAAACGATAATAAATTATCACTGCTTTCGTCTATCTAAAAGTTTAAATATATACATATAATTAATTATAATATATATTATATGTATATATAATTATGTATATAATATTTATATATCGTTGTAGATTATAATTTGTAGTAATATATGGGTTATAATATTATTCGTGTGCATTATAATTTATGTTCCCAGGTACTTTTAGTTTTCTGCTTTTCGTTTAGAACAATCATTAATATTCCTGACATTCATTCGAGTGTCTGAGATTATGCGTTGCGTAACTTCTTTTTTACGAGTTAGTCTATCAAGTAAGTAAGTTTTATGACAAAATCACGGTCTATAACTGCAAGATTTTATGCGTCTTTAAATTCTTACAAACGTAAATTTAAATTCTTTTCTCTCTCTCTCTCTCTCTTTTTTACGTAACTGAAGAAACAGAACCTAAATGAAAATTCGTCTCGTTTCGAAAATATTTTTCTTTTACGATAATTGACGGTATTTATATATTATTTATATATTATGTAATATATATATTATAATATAATAATATAATTGCATACATTAATATATTACATATTAATACACAATATTATTACTACATTATAATACTAATACTAAAATAATAATATAATTACATACATTAATATACTACATACTAATACATATATTATTACTGCATTATAATGTACACATATACATACACATACTAATACTAATGGATTATAATATACTAATGTATTATAACACTAGTATAGAATAGTAATATTGATTATATATGCTAATAATATTATACTATTATATACTATATATATATTAATATACATACTAAAATACCTAATATATACTAAATTAATACTAAATAGTATTATACTAATAGTATTATATTATATATACTAAATACTAGTCTATAACTAATAGTATTAGACTAGTCTATGACTAATCCAATACTATATACTATATACTTGTCTATATACTAATATTATTATACTGTATGTATTATATATATTACATAATACTAGTATAACACTATACTATACTAGTATAATACTGCATATGCTAGTATAATAATATAATTACATACGTTACATAGTATAATACTATAGTAGTATAATACTATACTATTATAGTATAATACTAT